TCCCCCTTCAGGGCGAGTCAGAGGCTCAGAGATGTGGTGGTGGGAAGGCATGGGGGGACCAGCATATTTCCAGCTCCATGTACTAACCTGATGAAACCCATCATGACCACATGAAATAGATAACATTCTTCATCCCATCTCACTGGTGAGAAAACTGGGCTCAGAGAGTTATATGACTTGCTCAAGGTCATCCAGGAAGGGACAGAGACAAGAGTTGAATGCAAGCCATACTGCCTCTGGTTTTATACTTTCAGACTCTTCTCTGGTAGCCCATTGCCCTTGGGGTCAAGTCCAAACTCACTAAAATGACGTGCAGGGCCTCTCAGGACCTCTGCTTCTACATGCATTGGTGTGAAGTGCTCAGGCACTCAGCACATCACCTCCCTGCTTCTAGGGTCTCTTTCTACACCCTGCTCAGCCCCAAATCTTTAGGATCCTGAATGCAGGTGCTGGAAGGGCCAGCCCCCTCGTGTGTAGTAGGAACAGAGTTCAGAGTTGGGCAAGCTTTGCCCAAGGCCCAGTGTGTGAGGAGCAGAGCCAATGGGCACCCTGCTCTCTGGACCCCGAGTGCTCCTGGCAGTGCTGTGGTCAGTCTCAGCTGGGCCCTCTCCAGGGAGTCCCCTGCCCCCCGACTGGGTCACACTCCTCCCCTGGCCTCCAAAGCCTCTGACCGTGCCTCTGATGCTGCCTGCTGTGGCTGCTACCTAGCTCGCTGTCTTCCTGCTTGATGAGGTGCCCCTTGTCGACAGACGCTGCTGGTCCATCACAGAGCCCCTGGTGCCCAGCTGAGTCCAGCAGTGAGCGAGCCCTCAGGAAAGTTTGCCTCCCGGAGGGAGGTCCAGAGAGGGATGGGGGCCTGCCCTAGGTCACACAGTGACTTTGAGCAGAGCTGGGGGCCCCATGAGTAACTCAAGCCCAAGATGCCCCTGGCTCCACTTGGCCCCGGGACCCAAGGAGGCCCAGGGATGGGGCAGTCTATAATGGCCACTCTAGCAAAGGGCACCAGAAGCCTCTGTCCTCTGCTGCTTCCAGGGGCCTGGGGCCAAGGACACGCTGTCTCCCTCCTGCTCCCACTCCTCGTGGAAGGATGTTCTCAAGATAAAAATACCCTCGGAAGTATTTCCTGGTGCCTGGCATGACCTGTCTTCCACACTGGGGGCCAGAACTTCCTGCCCTGGCTTCACCTCGGGGCTCAGAGAGTGGACATTTATCCCTCCCGGCCACTTGGCTCAGCCTAGCCTTGTGGTCAGTGCATCCAGCCCCTGTCTCCAGGCTACAGAGTCTGAGGGGCCTGAGGGGTTGTGGTCGCTGTGGTTCCTGTAGCCGGCACTTACTGGGCACCCTTACCAGAGATGACACCCCGGGCACAGAGCTGGGGGGTGGGGGCAGGGCGGCCAGACCCAACCCCTGCAGAGTTCAGGCTTCTCCTGCTTCAGTGCCTGTTGGGTGCGTCTTGAGAGCAACACACCAGGCCCCACAGGAGGGTGTCATCCTCTTAGAACACTGGGATAGTCGGCATTTACTGTGTGTCTGCTGCACTGGACACCCTCTTTGTAGCCTCCCCGTTTTGCAGATGAGAAGCCTGAGGCCCAGGGAAGTTCCCACTGGGAGCTAGGGGGTGATCAGGCCCTGAATGCTGGGCTGAGGCTTGCTGGTCCCCGAGCCCCACCCTCCAGGGGAGGCTGTCATTGGTGAGGACGGTGACTGCGGTGGTGGTGCCCGGCTTGTGCCCACTGCACTCCCCCCATGGCATTGGAGCACAGCTGAGCAGGAAGGGGAAGGGACCCGCCCCTGACTGACAGGACAGTCCTGGGGGAAAAGCGGAGGGCTCCCCTCGCTTGCTGGGAGGCCGAGGGACAGTCTCGCTGTTACGTCACGTCATCCCCGTCAGCTGAAGACCCTGCCCCTGCGCTGACCTTCCCTGTTGAGGACTAAGGACCCCCACCTCGGGAACATGTTTAGTGAACCTCCGAGTGTTGGGGGTCACATCTGTTTCATGGGCCGTGGCCACTGCAGGGGAAGACGGAGTGCTGGGTGGGTGTCAGATCCTGGGTTCTTGTCCCTGCTGCTCACTCTGTGTCTGTGACCTGGGGCAATTCCTTGCTCTGCTCGAAGGCTCCGCCTCCTCCTTGTGGAGCTGGTTTTGCTTCCCTCACAGGAGAAAGCCCGTTTTAGGGAGCAGGGAGGCAGAGGCTGAAAGAGCCCTGGGCAGGCAGGCCGAATGACACCAGGAAGTGGGAGGCAGGTGCTCCTCCATCTGCCCTCCCCGTGGCCGGGTGTCATCTCCTGGAGTTCCAGCTCTTGGTGACCTCGCTCTTCTCAGCCTCAGTTTTCCCTTCTATCCCTCAGGGTGGGCTGTGAAGATTGGAGTATCACTGAGGCCAGGAATCCAGCACCCGGGGCCAGACACAGTGGGTGTCCACTCCAGGAGAAGGACAAGAGGTCAGAGGCCCTGGAACTGGTCCTTGCTGTCAAAAGTCCTGCTGCCTGATGGGAGTCTGGGGTCGAGCTTCCATTGGTTTTAGAGGGGCCAATGGCAAGGCCCCTGGCTGCTGCTTTGGGAACCATGAGGGATGGGGAAGCAGGGGGCTGAGGGCTGGGTGTCTTGAGGTGAGCCCAGAGTGAAGGGAGACCAGCCAGGCCACCTCCTAAAAGCTAGAGCAGGTGCCCCGAGCCAGGAAGTGACTCAGCCAAGGTCATACAGCTGGTGGCATATGAGGAGAGGCAGAGTTGCAACTGAAACTGGGTTTGTATGCTTCTAAACCCACCACTGGTGCTGCCTCAGAAGGCTTGTGATGTGGGGCTGACTCACCACCAGTTCCCTTAATCCCAGCTGGAAGATCCAGCGTGACTGTGGGCAACCGCCAGTGGTGGCTGCGAGAGAGTGGCCTGCATGGGCACCGTGGCCAGAGGACATCTCAGGTGGACTCGCCTCCAAAGACTCCCTGATGCCTCCTTCCCCCTGCTCATTGCCCTGACCTCAGTGGTTGGTGTGCTGAAGGCTCTGCAGGTATCTGGGTGCACAGGCTGCACCCTGAGGTCCTCAGTGGCCTGAGGAGAACCACCATGGTGCCCCTGTCTCTGCAGCAGGAGCACAGTGGCTCCAACTACATAGGGTTCCGATGTTGTGAGGCTTGCCTGAGTTGGTATCTGTGAAGCACCTACCAAGTGTCTGGCATGCAATAGGCATTCAGTAACTGTCAGCGGTCACTTTCTCTGGGGGCCCACATCATACTGCCTTTCTCTGGTTCTGAAGCATTGCTATGAATATAGACTCACAGGGTCCTCCACCTTCCACAGGGTTCTGGGAAAGCAAGCAGAAATGGGGGTTTGTGTGGAAGTTTATAACTGTTGAGCTCCCCCCACCAAGGAGAATGGTAACTGTGCTCTATCGACTTCAGGGTCTTCCAGCCACTGAGGCCTCTCCAGCTGGTGGGGACATGGCAGCCACTGCCAGTGCAGCCTTGAAGACGGTCACTTGCTTGGTGAGCACCGTTACTTAGAGTTCCAGAGGTAAGATTGGGTCACAGATGTGCACCTGTCCACCCAGTCATCCTTCCATCCAGGCACTCATCTCTTTACCCCCCTGCCCATCCACCCATCCACCCACCTATGTGACCTCTCATCCACCCTCTATCCATCTTCCATCCATCTAACTCTTTATCTACCTACCCAACCCATCCAGCCATCCTTCCATCCATTCACCTCCCCTGCCAGCTATCCAGTCACCCATTCATCCATCCATCCACCCACCCACCTACCCATCCATAGATTCATCTGTCCATCTGTCCTTCCACTCATTCATCTATCCACTCAAACATCCATCCACCCACTCTGTCCATCCATCCATCCATCCGCTCAGTCCATCCACCCATCCACCAAGCCACTCAAACATCCATCCACCCACTCATCTGTTCACCCAACTCATCCAGACGTTTCTCACCCACCTAACTGATCCACCCCTCTAGTCATCCTCCATCCATCCATCCACCTGTCAGCCCCGTTTATCCATCTACACGCTTGACCACCCACTGGTACATGTAATGGTCTCCTCATTCATTGATTCATCCATCTCCTCATCTATGCCTCTGTTCAGCAGCTTATTCCCTTGTCTTTGTCTGAGCAGCAAACATTTACTGGGTGCCCGCTCTGTTCCAGGCCTTCCTCAATCTCTCTGGACTTCTGAGATTGACCAGAGATGGGGCCAAGGCAAAACCAACTCTCACACAAGGTGGAAAAGCACCTTCTGGTCCTAACAGAAGAAGCCCAGGGCTGGAGAAATCTAAAAGGGCCTCAGGGAAGTGGTGGGCTCCCACTGGTTCCTAACCGATGGATTTCCAGCATTCCCATTAGCTGTGATTTGGAGACCGGACCATGTGGGGTGAGGGTCACCACAGGAACATCCATAAGCAGCTTGTTGCAGTGTCCAGATAGGAATGCCTGGACAGGAGGGGTCTGTGGGTAAGGAGTGGGTGGATGGCTTTGATCATTTAGGAGATAAAATGCATAGGACCTGGGGGGGGTGGATTTGGGGGCTGAAGAGATGGGAGATGGCCAGGCCTGTTGCTGGGGTGACTGGGGAAATGGTTGGGCTACCCCCTCTTGGCTCTGCGGTGCTGGGAGGATGTGAGGGTGGTGGGCTAAGGGTTGGGAGTCCCTGCTGTGGAGCAGCCCAGAGGCCTGAGGAAGGCCCAGGCCTGAGGGGCCCTGCGAGCTTTAGTAGAGCAGGCACCCCAAGTGTGCTCTTTGGAGTGGGGAGCTGCTCCCTGGCTTGCCACTGCACAGGCAGAAAGACTGTATGTTGGTGGCTGGAAACTGGGCAGGTGGGCCTGGAAGTGGGGAGGCCCCAGGGACAGCTGAGCGTCAGCCAGGCCCATCACCAGTACACAGCTCTCCCCAGACCTCACATGGACCTTGCAGGGGCCCCACCCTGAAGGCCTGCACAGTGTTGACTCCAAATGTTTACAGCCTGAGGGTGACATCTGGGGAAGGACTGTGTCTGGGAAAGGTGGGCAGGCACAGGAGATGGCCATCATCACCCTAGACTGTAAGGGCAGAGGTGTTGGGCTCTCCCCAACCAGCCTTAGCCTGCTTACTGGACTCTGAGGTGCCAGCCTGCCCTCCCCACCCCAGGGATGACCCTGTCCCACCTTTGCACCCTGAGTTGCCCCTGGCCCCAAGCCTGGCCCAGACCTCTTGCTCCCTCTTGACTGAGTGAGGGCACCCTTCTCAGAGCCTCCATCTCCCCCCCTGCGGATGAAGGGTTGCATTTTTCAAGCCCTTGTGCTGAGTCAGATAGATAGTGTCTGGACTGGAAAAGAGGGCATGGCCACCACAGGCTGTAGTGAGAAAGTGCTCTGTGATGGATTAATGATGTCTGCCTTGGGCATGGACTGGAAAGGATGTGTTGGTAGGCTACATGCTGGCTTTCCCTGAGACAAGTGCTTTGTAAGGATTCTTCCAGTTGACCACGGACTTGTAAGGACTTGACCATGAGGTAGTGAGTGCTCCTTCTCTGGGTTCCAAGCAGGGCCTGAATGGCCATAGATCAGGGGTGCTGGTGAGGGTCTTGCCTCTGCTTTTGTGTGCTGAGAGAGGGGCTATTTGTGTCCTATCACCATGTGGCATTGCAGGGACCCTGAGGACTGAGGCTAGGAATACAGTGTCATGTCCACAATCTGGCCTTGGGGCCTGGACGAGATAAAGAGATGGGGAGTTGAGTTCTCTTCAACCCCCCACCCTAGGTACTCACTTATGAAAGCCTATGTGACCCTGGGTAAATGACTCAAGCTTTCTGAGCTTCAGTTTCCTCACCCAGAAAGTCAAAAGAAGCGATCACATGAGCTGTTTGAGCTCTTAGTGCCTGGCAGGTAGTAAGTGCCTGACAAATACTAATCACTCTGTTCACACCTCTGAAGGGGTCCTGCCACCTGGGAAGCCTCCCAGGGAGGGGGACATTGAGCGCCTCCTCAGTGATCCCTCTATTGACCCAACTAGTCAGTGCTTTCTTGGCTTCACCCCGGTCTCCTCTCAGATGCTGCAGAAACCTGAGGCCCAGAGCCTCAGGGGACCTGGCAGAGGGTGGCCCACTCCATCCGGAGGCACCTCCTGATGACTCGGCCCCACCGGTAGTCATGTGTTAGCTGCCTGCCTAAAAGCTCCCAGCCCAGTCCCTGCTGGTACACTGAGCCTTCTGGGTGCCAGAGCCTCTGTGTGTGGGTGCTGTGGCCGGCGGGCATGCCGGCTCTGGAGACGCTGGGATCAGGACAGGTTTGCCTCCCCTTGGGGGTCTCTGGGTCCAGCCCACTGGGGGTGCCTCACACCCCACCTGCACTGTTGTAGTCACCTGTCCCGGCTCAGGTGGGAGATCCCAGTGCCTCCCCTTCCCCTCCTAGCAACATCTAGGATCCCCGCCAGTCAACCTGGGCTTCCAACTGCTGTGGTATTAACTATTGTTTTGTTATGTATCTCATCCTGGCCCACGAGGTGTTTTGTGACCGGAACAATTCTCAGCCTCAGTTTTCCCACTTATAAAATGGAGAGCAAGCCTCCTAGCTTGCTAAGGCCTCTTCCAGCAAAGCAAATCTAGCTTCCTGTCTGTCTAATCTAACCATATGCACCCGTTGAGCAGGAGCCAGATAGGCCTGTACTTCCCTTGTTGAGGATATTGTCCCACTTTTCTTCTTTTTTTTTTTTTGGCCATGCCCTACAACTTTTGGGATGTTAGTTCCCAGACCAGAGACGGGATCCAACTCAGGTCCCCTGCAGTGGAAGTGCAGAATCCTAGCAACTAGACCTCCAGGGACATCCCCCACATTTCTTAAACCAAGCCCTTAAAGACCACAGAGCCCTGCACCCTTGCCTTCTGTGTATGGAGGGTCCCTGGATATTTGGTAAGTTTGTGGTGCCAGGGCTCCTACTGTGGGTCCTTTTTTCAGCCGTTCTTTGTGGTGGTGTGTTCACCAAGTGCCTGCGAGGACTTCCTACACCCCTGGCATCTCAGGCACACATGTACACACAGAGCTGTCTGCTGTGTCTCTGCTCCTTGGCTTCCGGGGGTCTTTGCCTGGGTGACTTTGCTCCAAGTACCAGTTTCCAGCTCTGAATAGTGGGGGAGTGGCTGTGAATGTGGCCTGTGGATTTTCTCTATGGTTTTAGGAGAAACATCAATAGAATAGGTCTGGGTGGGGCATAGGCACCCAGCCCAGGCAGAGATGCCAGTGGTCACTGTGACACCCGCCACCTGCCTGGGAGCTGGCCAAGTCACAGACTCCATGTGAGGCTGCCCAGCTGCTGGGAACAGTCGTGCCAGTTTGGGCTCTCCTGGCCTTTGATTCTTTTGATTCTGTCCCCATTACAGGCCTCAAGCTGCTCAGAGCCTTACCCAAAGCAGCCGTGATCTGCTGGACATCCCACAAGTCCTCCTGGCCACACAGACCTGCCCCTTGCAATCCGGTGGCATGCTGCCGGCTTCTGGTCACCTCCGGTTGGAAGGCCCAGGAATCTTGGGCTGGGCTGTCTTCCAGGCACAGTCCCTGGGGTACCCCCACCACCAGCTCCTTGCCTGCTGGCCCAGGCAGAAGCAGTGCCCACCATTATAGCCTCAGGCCTCAGCTCCTCAGACCCAGGGTGAGGTAGTCAGCTGGAGCATCTGTACGGGAGAATGGCAGTGTGAGGAGAGCTGCTGCAGAGCCTGGGGTCCCCACACTGAGAGACCTTGTGTCAGACAGAAGTAGTTCTGAGTTCAGTTCTCCTGCTTAGTGGTTATGTGATTTTGGGAAAGTCACTTGACCTCTCTGAAACTCCATCCAGAGTGTAGAAATAGCCACAGTAGTTACCTCCTTGGGCTGCTGAGGAGTGACCCAGGAGTGTTTGCTGATGGGTCTGGCCTGCTCTCCCTGTGGATGGATGAGCTGGGAGCATTGTGTACTTGCCAGACCTGGGGATCGAGTGACACTGGCAACTGGACGGAGCCTGGAGGGGTCTGCAGCCTGGCTGGTTGAGTGGGCTCCACCTTCACCTTCTCCCAGGTGTTTGGAGCAGAGGTCAGAGGTGGTGCCCTCTCTGCAGCTCTGGCTGTACCCTGTCCCACAGACCAGGGCTGATCCCAACTTTGCCACCTCCTGGCTGTCACCTCCATTCTCTTCCTCATGGACCGGCTGCCCTGGGACCTTCTCTGGGGCCTCAGCATCTTAGTGCACTCAAGCGCTCCCAGGCTTGTCTGACTCTGACCTCGTGGTGTGACTGGTTTGTGGTTCGGGGAGGGGTGCATGGGGCCCATCAGTGCCCTGCTACGCCGTTCCCGCTTGGTGCCTGACAGCCACATGGCCTTAGTGCCCACCCATGGGGCCAAGTGGAGTTGGGATCTCCTGTCTACAGATGCTGCCCCAGAGCCAGCAGGGCCATGGGGAGGGGCGGCTACCTGTGCGTCTGGGGCCTGGATGCTTGCCCCCAGCAGTGAGAACAGGGTTTGTCTGGCCATGGGAACAGTGCCATGGGGTGTGGCCTGGGACTGCCCAGTGTGCGAGTGTGTTTGCCAACCAGGTGCTGTGCTGAGTGGGCTGAGGATGAGGACTCTTCTGAGTGCTCCCCACATGCTCTTATTTAGAGCTGAGGAAGGCAGGGGTGGCAGAGGTCCCCAGGCTGAGGTCAGCAGTGAGTGACCCCCCGGGAGGCTGACTCATGGGCCCCCTTCTAGCCACCTTTGGTGATGGGGAGGCCACAGGCCTAGCTTATGGGCAGTGAGAATAGGCACCTGAGGGAGAGTGTGAGTGTCAGGAGGGTGGTGGGTCCAGCTTTGGGTGTCCATCAGGCCCAGGCCCAGGCCCAGGCCCCAAGAGTGAAACTGCTGTGAACAAACAGCAAACCCCTGTACTCAGGGAGCTGGTGGTCTCATGGTGGGATGGCTTGTGCAGGCCCGAGCAAGCTGTTGTTGTGGTCACTAGTGTTAGGAGGTCAGGGGGAATGTGTGGGAGTCAAGTGGGGTTCTGGGGGGTGTATAGTTTTCTCAGGCGTAGGGAGGCCCTGGGAGATGCCCCCGAGGCATCAAAGCCAGGGCTTGGAGGAGGGTGTCCGGGTGGGCCCCGGGGTGAGCAAGGGCAAGGCTGGAGAAGATATGGACTGACTCCTGGTGGCTGCCATGAGCACTGGCACCAGGGTGGGAGCAGGAAGGCCAGCATGGTGGCTTTCAGGCTGGTCTTTGTGGGTGATTTCAAGGACTCAGGCCAGGAGGGTAGAAGAAGGAGATGGATCCTGAATCCTGAATATTTTGGAAAGCAGAGCCCTTGGTGGGAGAAAGGGAGACTGAGGAAGAACCCAGGGCTCTTGTCTGGAGCAGCTGAGAGGAAGGAGGAAGGCAAGGAGGTGGCTAAGATGGAAGGGAGGACCAGGAGCTGGTTGTGGGTGATTCTGGGTATCCGCAACCATGGCTGGGCCAGGGTCGGAAGCGTGGAGGTGGCGGAGGGGAGGGCGGCGGCTACCAGGCCAGCACCACCATCAGCCCTGCCTTCCTGTCTATTGCAGGAGCTGCCCAACCCTGAGCCAGTCTGGGGTCGAGCGGGGTCCCGCTGCCCCCACCTCCTGGATGACTGCGTCCGGCCGCACAAACCCCTACAGCATCGTATCTTCAGAGGAGGACGGGCTGCACCTGGTGACCATGTCGGGCGCCAACGGCTTCGGCAATGGCAAGGTGCACACGCGGCGCCGGTGCCGGAATCGCTTCGTCAAGAAGAACGGCCAGTGCAACATCGAGTTCGCCAACATGGATGAGAAGTCGCAGCGCTACCTGGCGGACATGTTCACCACGTGCGTGGACATCCGCTGGCGCTACATGCTGCTCATCTTCTCGCTGGCCTTCCTCGCCTCCTGGTTGCTGTTCGGGGTCATCTTCTGGGTCATTGCGGTGGCCCACGGGGACCTGGAGCCCGCGGAGGCGCACGGGCGCACGCCGTGCGTGCTGCAGGTGCACGGCTTCATGGCGGCCTTCCTCTTCTCCATCGAGACGCAGACCACCATCGGCTACGGGCTGCGCTGCGTGACTGAGGAGTGCCCGGTGGCCGTGTTCATGGTGGTGGCGCAGTCTATCGTGGGCTGCATCATCGACTCCTTCATGATTGGCGCCATCATGGCCAAGATGGCGCGGCCCAAGAAGCGCGCACAGACGCTGCTCTTCAGCCACAATGCGGTGGTGGCGCTGCGTGACGGCAAGCTCTGCCTCATGTGGCGCGTGGGCAACCTACGCAAGAGCCACATCGTGGAGGCCCACGTGCGGGCCCAGCTCATCAAGCCCCGGGTCACGGAGGAGGGCGAGTACATCCCGCTGGACCAGATCGACATTGATGTCGGCTTTGACAAGGGCCTGGACCGCATCTTCCTGGTGTCTCCCATCACCATCCTGCACGAGATTGACGAGGCCAGCCCTCTGTTCGGCATCAGCCGGCAGGACCTGGAAACGGATGACTTCGAGATCGTGGTCATCCTGGAGGGCATGGTGGAGGCCACGGCCATGACCACGCAGGCCCGCAGCTCCTACCTGGCCAACGAGATCCTGTGGGGCCACCGCTTTGAGCCTGTCCTCTTTGAGGAGAAGAACCAGTACAAGATCGACTACTCGCATTTCCACAAGACATACGAGGTGCCATCCACGCCCCGCTGCAGTGCCAAGGACCTGGTGGAGAACAAGTTCCTGCTGCCAAGCACCAACTCCTTCTGTTACGAGAATGAGCTGGCCTTCCTGAGCCGTGACGAGGAGGACGAGGTGGACGGAGAGCAAGACAGCCTCGGCCCCCAGGCCAGGCGCGACTTTGACAGGCCGCAGGCCGGCACAGCCCTTGACCAGCGGCCTTACAGACGGGAGTCTGAGATCTGAGCTGCCGTCGGTCAGCCGAGGTGCAGCATCTGCCCCGCCAAGGAGAGGCCTGAGCCCCTCGAGGTCTCTGGGCCTGAGCGGGATGAGCTTGGGCCCTGGTTGCAGACTCAGTAGCGTTTTAGATGTTTTATGTTTCTTTACAACGCCTGTGATTGTTGGCAGGAGAGTGGGTGGTTTGTGCTGCCTCCGGGGCTGGGGCAGGCCCATGGGTGGGGAGGTGGCCTCTGGGCACTGGTCTGCAGGAGCCAGGGCCTTTTGCCTGAGGAGGGAGCTGCAGGCTGTCCAGAGACAGCTGACCAGCCACCCGACCTCTGCGGGCGAAGGCCAGTAGGCAGTAGGGCGCCTCACTGGTTTTTACCTTGGGGAGAAACACCAGTTTTGGCTTTCTCAATCTTAGTTTGAGTAAGACTGTTTACAAAAAAAAAAAAATTAACATGTGATTGATTTTTATAATTTGTTGGGGGGGGTGGAAAGAAGGACAGTTAGAATTCTGTCTGCTAGGGTGCAAGCAGCTGAGTGGAGTTTCCAGCAAGTTCCCAATGCTGGGCAGGCCTCTCTTCCGTGAAGATAGCGCATGTGCCTGATGGTGCAGCCTGCAGGGTAGACATGGGGCTCACCCCCATTCTTTATGCTCACAAAGTGAATTGGATTTCGTTTGTGATGGCAATACCGAGACCATGTTAATGATCCTAATGGAAGCCTTCCAGTGTTACTGGGGTGGGGGCAAGGGCCAGGAAGAGTCTGGGAAGAACTTCCAAGTTTGACTCTGTGCCTCCGGTGAGGCGTGTCTCAGGGCCGGGATGGGACCTAACCCCCAGCCACCTCCCACCCTGACCTGCCGGGTTCTCCTGTTTCTCTCTTTCCTTTTCTGCCCAGCGGCCTCTACCCCTTCCCCAGAACTGTGGGGGTGGATGGCTCCATGGGAAGGAGAGCTGGGTTCCCCAACTCCAAGGAAGTGTTTCAGCCCCATCCCCACGGGGCCCCAGCATGAGTCGTGCCTTAGAGACCCTGGGAGTCTGGCTCCAATTGTCACTGTTTTTATTGGATTCACGCATCCTCTCCACAGCCCCCGACTCCACCATACTCCTCTGTCTGCAGAGGTTGGGCTGACCTGGCACCCCACCCTCCCAAGGCGATCAGTGCAGGTGTGCCCGGGTGGGGCCCAGCCAGGCTGTGCCCTGATGCTGAACACACAGGAGTGCCCTAGGAAGGGTGAGCTTGTCAGCACACACCTCTGGGTCGGGTAGAGGCTTGGGTTCCTTGTTTGTCACTGGCTTTTGGCTCTGCCAGCCCAAGAGCTGCCCAGCACAGGCTTGTTCTTGGAGAAAGCAGCTGGCAGGGGCCAGGTGTCAGGATGGAGTCTGGCTCTTTCCTGGGACTGCTGAGAGCATTGTGCTCACATATGATTGGGCTATTCAGTCATTAGAGAGCAGGCATCTCCCCAGCCCACCTGCCCAGGTGCTGTGGGACAACTCATGACCAGGAGGTGCTAGGACTCCGGCCCCTCCCCTCCTCCCACCCTGAGGTGGCTGGAGGCTTGCCCCAAGGTCAGGGGCCATGCGGGGTCCTGGCACCAACTGTCCATTCCCACCCAGACAGCCCTGCCCTGGCCTCAGATCGCACCCTAACTTTCAGTCAGGAATAGTCAAAAGGGTCAATCCGAGGCAGATGGAGGCGGCCCTTCCGCTCAAGATCTACTGGATGGGCCTTTCTAATTCCCAGCCCTGAGCCCGGGCTTCTTCAGCCTTAGTCCTGGGGGGTGTGGAGTCCCCACGGGACCCATGAGGGCAGCAGATGGCCCTGGTCGCTGGGGGCTGGCACATAAGCCTGCCGGGCCAGCCCTCACGCACCCCACCCAGGCCCCAGCTGTCTCGAGTGGCCTGGGGCACCTCCTCTCAGGCCTGTCCACCTCCCAGGCTCATGGGGGGGTGGAAAGAAGGACAGTTAGAATTCTGTCTGCTAGGGTGCAAGCAGCTGAGTGGAGTTTCCAGCAAGTTCCCAATGCTGGGCAGGCCTCTCTTCCGTGAAGATAGCGCATGTGCCTGATGGTGCAGCCTGCAGGGTAGACATGGGGCTCACCCCCATTCTTTATGCTCACAAAGTGAATTGGATTTCGTTTGTGATGGCAATACCGAGACCATGTTAATGATGCTAATGGAAGCCTTCCAGTGTTACTGGGGTGGGGGCAAGGGCCAGGAAGAGTCTGGGAAGAACTTCCAAGTTTGACTCTGTGCCTCCGGTGAGGCGTGTCTCAGGGCCGGGATGGGACCTAACCCCCAGCCACCTCCCACCCTGACCTGCCGGGTTCTCCTGTTTCTCTCTTTCCTTTTCTGCCCAGCGGCCTCTACCCCTTCCCCAGAACTGTGGGGGTGGATGGCTCCATGGGAAGGAGAGCTGGGTTCCCCAACTCCAAGGAAGTGTTTCAGCCCCATCCCCACGGGGCCCCAGCATGAGTCGTGCCTTAGAGACCCTGGGAGTCTGGCTCCAATTGTCACTGTTTTTATTGGATTCACGCATCCTCTCCACAGCCCCCGACTCCACCATACTCCTCTGTCTGCAGAGGTTGGGCTGACCTGGCACCCCACCCTCCCAAGGCGATCAGTGCAGGTGTGCCCGGGTGGGGCCCAGCCAGGCTGTGCCCTGATGCTGAACACACAGGAGTGCCCTAGGAAGGGTGAGCTTGTCAGCACACACCTCTGGGTCGGGTAGAGGCTTGGGTTCCTTGTTTGTCACTGGCTTTTGGCTCTGCCAGCCCAAGAGCTGCCCAGCACAGGCTTGTTCTTGGAGAAAGCAGCTGGCAGGGGCCAGGTGTCAGGATGGAGTCTGGCTCTTTCCTGGGACTGCTGAGAGCATTGTGCTCACATATGATTGGGCTATTCAGTCATTAGAGAGCAGGCATCTCCCCAGCCCACCTGCCCAGGTGCTGTGGGACAACTCATGACCAGGAGGTGCTAGGACTCCGGCCCCTCCCCTCCTCCCACCCTGAGGTGGCTGGAGGCTTGCCCCAAGGTCAGGGGCCATGCGGGGTCCTGGCACCAACTGTCCATTCCCACCCAGACAGCCCTGCTCTGGCCTCAGATCGCACCCTAACTTTCAGTCAGGAATAGTCAAAAGGGTCAATCCGAGGCAGATGGAGGCAGCCCTTCCGCTCAAGATCTACTGGATGGGCCTTTCTAATTCCCAGCCCTGAGCCCGGGCTTCTTCAGCCTTAGTCCTGGGGGGTGTGGAGTCCCCGCGGGACCCATGAGGGCAGCAGATGGCCCTGGTCGCTGGGGGCTGGCACATAAGCCTGCCGGGCCAGCCCTCACGCACCCCACCCAGGCCCCAGCTGTCTCGAGTGGCCTGGGGCACCTCCTCTCAGGCCTGTCCACCTCCCAGGCTCATGCTGGACGGCTTAGGCCACAGACTCTGCAGGGGGGCCACTCCGAGCTGCCTTTCATCTCTCACCAAAGGCAGATGCTGTGTTTTCAAACTCCACTATCTGCTTTTTGCCTCCTCTGTGTTTATTTATTTATTTATTGCTTGTGCTAAAGACCAAAATAGTCTTCCTCTTTAGTGCCCTTGAAGCAGGAGGGCAGATGGAGGAGCTGTGTGTGCAGAGGCAGGATCAGGTGGTCCCTGGGGTGTATGTGCCTGTGTGTGGGGTATGGTGTGTGAACTCACTGGGTATTCAGTGCCATGTGCTGTGTGTGTGAGCACGTGTGTTGTGTGGGAGTCTGTGGGCACACATGTGTAGGTCACATGTGGCCTGTGTGCTATACAGGTGGGTGTACAAACTTGCTCTGCCCCCGCCCCCTGGCAGTGGTATTTCCAAGAGGCTTCCTGGCAGCCTGGGCCTGGTGGTGCGGAGACTGGAGCTGCCCAAGGTGCCCTCTGCCCTGAGAAAGCAAGCTGCTTATGTGGAGAGGGGCCTGGAGCCAAGTGTGTGAGAGCCGAGGTGTGAATTCCCATGTTGAGTCATCTCATCCGTGTGCCGGTGAGGTGTGTCCAGTGATGGCTTTTCCTGGAAGTGCTCGAGTCTGTTCATGGGAGTGTCCTGCAAATGTGTGCCCACGACCATCTCCACGTGTGTGTGAATCCGTGCAGGTGGTGTCTGTGGATGATGCTACGTGTGTATTTACCCATGGGTCTGTTTGTATGTTTGTTGGTTAATATGTTTCCATGCTATGGGGCTGGGCACACAGCACTGAGGACGGACGCCAGCTGTGGTCCCACCAGCCCTCTGCCCTGATTCTGTCCACGTGGGCATGTAAGGAGCACGGGTGACAGGGTGAGACTTCTGTGCACGTTGGCACAAAGTGACAGCCACACAAGTGTGTGAGTGTGCCACCTCCAAAGGTGAGCATCTGTACACGACTGCATGTTAGGAGGCCCGGGTGCATCTGTCCACAAACACACATACATGCATGAGCCGGGCTCCGGCAGCAGAGCTGCACCTGCCTACCGAGGGTGGCGTGTGTGTGTCTGCAGACCGCTCATGTCCGGTCAGGCCCAGGTGTGTTTCTCAGAACATGGTGCCCCTGCCTGCCATACCTGCTGGTGCTGTGCCACCCAGTCCCTGCCCCCAGAGGGTCCCAGTGGGGGCAGGGGACCTGATGGGAAGGAGGCCCCTGCAAAGGTCAAATCGACGTCAAATATATTTTAAATGGTGAAACGAGGAGAATTTTCATGTTATTTTCAACACACAGCAGTGTCTGGAGATGCAGGCCACGAGACTAGACCATACTACACTCATTTCAGCCTCCTGGAGCGGCACCGTGTGCAGACATGTGTTTAAAGGCCCTGCCTGGTATGGTGCACACTGCCCCTCATGTTGCCCCCCACCCCCACCCAACACCCTGTGACCTGGGGGACACTCCCCAGAGGCCGATGAGGGAGGACAGAGAGGACAGAAGCGGCCTCCTTGCAGACCCCTGCGTGCTCCTCAGGCTGTGACCTGGCCCAAGTGTGCCAGCCAGCCACCACAGCTGGGCCCTGGGCCCCTGCAGGGTCCTCCCCAGGCCTGTGCCTCCCTTTCCCTTTCTCCCGCAAGGGTTTGGCGAGGGCAGGGCTGATGTGTGCTGAGCCCCCATAATGAGGCAGGCCTGGCTCCCACCGCTGTGGGGGAGCTGAGAGGGGTTGAAGTGGGGGCGGTGGGGCTACAGAGGGCAGGCACCTGCGGCTGCAGTGTGGACGCGCTAGTCTGTTCTGGGCTAAGAATATCGTCGCCTCGAGGGTCTCCGTTGGAAGAACCCCCCAAGGAAAGAATCCTTCCCTTTGCCCAAACTTTCCCTGAGTGGAGATCCCTTTGTGTCAGTGAAGATCCACACAATGATTCCAGGCCGCTGGAGAGGAAGCCGGGTTGGGGGAAGGGGCTGTGGTGTCTGTGAAGTCTTCTTGGTCCATGTTCCCACGGGTTGGACCGAGGTGGCTGGCTTGATGAGGGGGGTGGGTGCTCTCC